GAAAAAAAAAAAGGCGTTACACCTATAGAAGCGATAACACAAACAACATCATAATTCATTTTTAATTAGCTAGAACAATAACTTCCCCTTTTATCTGTCTATTGGTATTTATGTGGATCTATAGGGATGTCCCCACTACGCGTAAACCCTTATTCAATATTATCAACTAACTAGCCATCCCTATACCTCGTATGGTATGAGCGCTAAAAATACCATCTTTAAATACCATGTTCGGTATGAGGGTGAAATAGGTCGTTTCCATACCCTGTCCGGTATGAGCGCTAAAAATATCATCCCTCAATACCCCATCTAGTATGAGGGTGAAATGGACCGTCCCTATACTCCGTCCGGTATGAGTGCCAAAATACCAATCATCAATACGCCGTCTGGTATTAGGCAACGTTCACGGTAGGGTTTCATATGTACCCGGTCCGTCTACCATCTCCTAAGATATCCAGTAAGGTTATCATTCATTCATTCATTTTATCAAATAATTTTTCGTATTAATTTACAGTTTCACAATTTAACAATAAATCACGTAAAATAAGCAATACATGGATCCAGAAAACACAATTGAATCATCTTACCAATTACAATGTATTATTATTCATTTAAAACTGTAAGATCAAACAATCAGTTAAAATAAGATAAACAGTAATAAATAACTTGTTCCGGTTCCATTAGTAACCTATAATTAATTATCGGTGTTGTCTAAATTACTTAAAATATCGTATTATTTATAATTAAACTTCAATTTCATAACAGGGAATAAGATGAGAAATTCTTACCTGAATCGGTGTCAGAAGCACTAAACTTTCAGCTGCGCCTATTGGTGGTCCCCGAATTTCTTGAATTTTCTTTCGGATGTTAAAATACACTTCAAGTACCTAAAAATATTCAAAAAAATTCAAAATTGGTGTTAAAAACTTTTTCTGGCTAATTTAAGAATTATGGCATGGCAACACCGCCATGCTTCGGCGACGGGCGATGGCACTGCCGCCCCCGGCGGCAATTTACCTTGGATTGGTTGTTTTTGGCCAATTTTGACCAATTTCAGCCAATTTTATACTCATCACTGCGAGAAAAGACGTTAAGAGGTCTCGGTTAGTCGAAAAAAGTTAAAAAATAAAAACTTACCGGCAGCGGGATCTTTCGATGTGGCGGCTCCGCCGGCTCACCTCCGCGGTTGGGTGTTTTTCTTTGGTCAACCAGTAGAAAATAGAATGGGGATTACAATAGTGAAAAAATCGCACGAAACGAAAATCAGAAAAGGGCTCATCGGAGGTGGTTTTTAATTTTTTTTAAGACAGCGTTGCCAGACTTTACCCACAGTTTTCGGCTCATCCACTGGTCATTTTGCTCTGATTTGGTCATAGGGGTATTAAAAATCAAATTCCGAGCAAATAATTTTTTTTTTACCTTTTCTGGTGATCGGAGCGTTGGGGGCTGGCGGTTAGGGTTAGAGTTTGATGTGAAATGAAGTATTTATATCCATCTCCCTTTAATCTATGTCATCCATCGCGTTTGATCTCGAATATCCGATCGCATTTAAAGAGAAAATAAATCTAAACCGTTCATCGCAATTTGATCTAAACTTTACAATTGCCTTTAAAGAGAGAACGAATCTGAACCTTTCGTTGCGTTTAATCGCGACCGTCTGATCGCGTCTGAGAAGGGAATGGATCCAGATCGTCCAATCACAGGCACTTGGATTGCTAGCGTGGCCTTTTGCATGACACCGCGTCAGCGTGCCTTGCCATGCGGCATGCTCCGGTTCGTCGGAGGTGCTGACTGGGCGGTTCTACATGGTACATTTTTTTAAATTATGTTTTGACCTCCAGTTTCTGATTTTTTTAAAAAAAATACACCCCGAACCCAAATTTTCACCAATTTCTCCTAAAATTATTTTCAATTTCATTATCTACCTATTTTTTCTAATTTTATCTTAAACAAAAATTTATAAAATTAAAAATTATATTTTTATATATTTATTATTATTATTATTATTATTATTATTTTAAACAAATAAAATTCGGACCAAATTTCGAATTCGAGTATTACAATTTGATTTTATAAAATTAATAATTTAATTTATTGGTATGCTGGTAGGTTTAAATTTTTTTAATTGAGTAAGCTACTATATATTAAAAAATTCAAATAATTTTTTATCTTTTGGCATATTTATTTATTATAATTTTAGTTTTGTATAATCATTCAATTGTTTCTTTTTATAGATCACGGCTAAGAGATGATTGTTGGTCTTGGTCAAGTTGCAATTAAGTGCCTTTTGATTCAACTATTGCCTTTTGGTGTGATGACTAATACTAATAAGGCTACTCATACAATACAACCAGGCTGCCCAAGTTTCTCAATCGGACACTATCTTGCCAAAGACAAAAAAAAAGTATTTTTTTTTATTCTTAAAAAATACGTTAGATAATTTGAATGTTATTTTTTAAAAAATTAGATAATAATTTACTTATGGTCTCATTATTTTTATATACTAGATTGCATATAAATTCTACCCAAAAAATTATATATAAATTATATTTAAGAAGAAATCAACACGATAATAAATTTATAAATCAAAATCTAATAATACATATATAAGTGATGATTGATCAATATACATCTTAAAAAGAAAAAATTAAATATGAACTAAATGAAACAATATATATGCATATATATATATATGGTGGTGAATAACCTATTTTCATATGGTAATGATGGTTATAGGATTACAATATTTACCTTAAACAATTTATTTTGCGAGACGATTATTGTGCTTCTAATAATTCTACCGGAAAATTATAATATTATAGTTTTAGTTTATTCAGCAAATTAAATATAAGAAATCTAAATTCACTAGGAAAAAAAAATATATAAATTGGGTTTGTGTTTCTCTTGACACCCAAATAAAAACTAGAAAGGACAATCAATATAATATAATGTTTATATATGTGTGTAAGAAAGACGTTAATAGTTGGTAATGGGTAAGACTGTAGCTTTGACAAATGAGAGAGGCTACTCATTAGTCTCATCTTTTTATTCAAATTTGTGTATTTTTATATACAACAAAAACCACTCATTAGTCCTCGAGGCAATGATTAAAGCCTTTAAACAATACAACAACGTCTCCCATTTACAATATCAAAATGGTTTAGTTGATTCACCTTTGTCTCTCCGATTGTGATGTCTATACGTGCACACAATATTTAAAACACGTATTACGCGACCCATGACAAATGTTTACATCATTAGGATTTGTTTGAAATTAATTAATATATATTTATAATAAAATAATTTAATTAAAAAAAATGTAAAAGTTCTTTTCTAAAATAATAGAAGTCAAATTTTGTCAAAATTTTTAAATAAAACTAAAAGATTGAATTATATGAAAAAAAAAAAAATTAATGAAATGTTGACCAATCATACTCAAAATTTTCTATAAATGCTACACTCCACTGATTAAATTAAATACAAAATTTGAAATAAAATTATTTCAAATGGAGTCCTGTGAGTAAATTTATAGCCTTAATATACATGAGGCTTCCCGTAGTTTCGTTGTTCTACGACTAAGGAGGAAGACGCTATCATACAGAGTGAAGCATTCGTGGTCCAACGCAAATCCGGACTCCAAATAAATATTTGGTGATTTTTTTTTTTTAATTATTTCTCTGTCATGCTGTTAATTTCACGTTAATTTTTTGTTGTATAGTCAAAATAGTTGTATATTTTGATTTAGTTTTTAGATATTATTTTATGTTAATTTTAAATCAAAAACTAATTTTTCAAGAACAGAAAAGAAATACAAAGAGTGTACAAGACTGAAGGCTAAATCATTCCAGCCTTCTACTAGGAAGTTTTTCATTTTTTTATTTCAGTTGTGGGTCTCATCCAATTGAAACCGAATAGACACTCTCTGGTATGGCAAAGTGACAGGAGTTACCCATCAGTTACACAATTCATGAATTAACTGAAGCATTGAGGAACAGTCATAAACTATTTCACTAACATGAAAAAACAAAAAATTAAAACTCTTGATGGAAAAAATTTTTCGGACTTCCAATCATAAAAATTGATGGAACATTGAGTAATGCAATAAATATTTGCCGCCCAAATGCTGTAACAACAGTTTATTGCTTTTTTTTGCTCTTTCTTATTTGATGTGAATTATTGCATTCTAGCGAATCATGAAAGGAGCCGCATACCGGGATTCTCTAATCAGCAGATGTATCAATACACACGAGCTTTAGGAGGGAATGATTCAATTTCGTCGTCCAAAGTGTTCATGTGAACTGGCCTATAATCTAGCCGCACCCTCTCATTCTCCCAATATCTGTGAAATAAAGCACAATAACACTGTTTAACAACATAAATTAAAGAGAAGTACGACCATTAGATATTTCCAACAGTCAAATAGAACTTCGTTGCAATTCAAGGATTTGTGAAGGCTGTTAAAATTTCAGTAAATCACTATTCAACTCAATGCTACTTGTGGAACTAATGCTTTCATTTTCTGATTAATTAATCATCATTTTCTAGTTCTGATTCTCATATTAATCTAACTCAATCCTACCTTTCATAATTGAATTCCTACCATCAAGAGGTTCAAAGTGAAAATGACAATCGATTCAAACAGATTAAATTACATTATAATTATGAACATAAAGACTAATATTAGGACTAAAACTAGGAATTGGCTGTAGATTGAATCTCTAGAGGAAAAGGAACGATAAAGACTAATGAACCAAATACAGCCCTAGAGGAAAAGGAATTGAATGTCTATCCTCAATTTTCAAAGAAGGGAGTAGATGGTATTTTAATTTACATATTAAGATTAATTGAGTAATTAAAGGAAAAGATGGAAACTGAATCACATGGCCTATTAAGGTTATTCTGGGATTGTTACAATTTTGCTGACTGCAAAATAGAATCCAATCAAAACCACATTGAGGTAGCTTCTAGAGCAAATACTCTGAAGCTAATCAACTAGATTTTTTTAAAAAAAAGAAAAATACAGCACAAAATAGCACCGCAAGTTAAATATTTTAGAATTTGGTTAACTTTAGTCGAAGATTACTGACTTTGTTATAATCAACTCAATTTGGACCTACTCTCCTGTTCTTTTGGGTTTCACATTAAAACAGTACATCTAAAATACTAATCAAATCAAAACTTGCTTGGCCAAGAAGAAAACAGTGACTTACCCCAGTGTGTGCTTCATCCAGTTCTCATCATCTCTTTTCTGCATAACCAAATAAACTTGCTTCATTTACAGAACATTCCCAAAAAGACAAATCTGTTGATATGAAAAGAAAGAAAACCAACCGTAAAATCTTCCCGGGCATGTGCTCCTCTGCTCTCTTTCCTGGCTTCAGCAGAATGCATGGTGATACAGGCATTTATCAAAAGGTTTTCCAACTCCAGAGTCTCTATCAAGTCAGAGTTCCTGCAATGAGTTTTAAAATTAACTTCTAGAACGAACAAAATCAATTACAAAAGAGCTTTGGATCATCAATGGTTACCATATCAAACCACGATCTTTCAGCTTCACTTCATGGAAACTCTCCCATGCTTTGTCAATTAACTGACAACCTGCAGGGATAAACAAAGTGCGAAAGAATGTGAATATGGCATTCAGAGAGTAATAACACAAGTATCAATTCCCCAAACATGTCAAGAGGAAAGGATTAAAATAGATAAGTAAACCCAGTAAGGAGAAGTTATAAACCTTCTTCTAATGTTTCCTGTGTACGGAAGACAGCTGCATTAGTTTGCATCACCCTCTGCATATTCAACCGGATTTTGGAAGTTGGAATTGAACCATTTGCATTTCTTATTTTGTCCAGCCAAGCAATTGTTTTCTCACCAGCATCTTTTTCCAGAGGTTTCTGTTTCTCCCCTGAAAAATAACATATACACATTTTGACATAGAAATCAGAGTAATACTTAATAGGATCCTACAGAACCTGACCATCTTACTTACCTGGTCTATGTATCTCAGCAACTCTGTTAGCACATGCTCGACCAAAAACAACAATGTCAAGAAGGGAATTAGCACCAAGTCTATTAGCACCATGAACTGACGCACAGGCTGCCTCCCCAGCTGCCATTAACCCAGGAACTACAGCATCTGGATCATTGCCTCTAATAGTAACTACCTAAAAGTTTTAAAAGAATGTTGACTGAGAAAAGGAATCATTAAAATTGAAGGAAGAGCTCTGTACACCATATCTAAAAAAATCAATGAGGAACAAAACTAATTCAAAACCAAAACCTCTCCACTCTTATGTGCGTGAGCACTAATCAATTAAAACAGACATCAGATCAACCCCGACTCCACGAGAAGCATGCATAAATAGCATCAGCATACCCTCTTCTAAACATCATTCTCACATTTGAGGCATATTGTCATAACTTTACTAAGGTAGCAACCATATAATTTTCCATCTGATATTAGGGTAAATTAGGGCTAATTTGCCAAATTAGGTATTTGGAACAAAAACCATTAATATTATAGCTAGGATTTCTTAAACATCCATCTAAGAAGTCTTAAGCATCCAATCAAGTGTTATAACTAGAACAAAAGTTTTTATATTTAAGCAATCTAAATTTTATCCTCTCTGGACCACTATCTCACCTCCCCATGGTGATTTGTAGGAACTCCACCCATATTATAGTGAACAGTGGGTAAGACAGGGATGGGCTCCTTTGTAACATCCACACCAGCAAAGATAGCGGCAGTTTCAGAGATTCCAGGAAGCCTTTCCTTGAGTACCTCTGGTGGTAAGTGATTCAAATGGAGATAGATATGGTCCTTCAGAGGTCCTGTTAGATTCCAACATCAACATCACAAATACCAAGTTTCATTAGAAAACAATTATTAGAAAAAGCAATCATAGTTGTTGATATGAAGAAAGCAGCTTGGGAACATATGAAAAAGCAGGTAATTACACATATTAGGAGTTGTAAAAACCTACAGCACAAATGATAAAATTCTTCAGCAACTTGGTTAAGAAAGATTTTTGTTAGGACTTGACATTATGTGTACTGGTGAGAGCAGATTTCATGAGACAAGTTTTTGGGACCACTATAAGTGATTTGGATGACAATTTAAACATGTTTGGTCAAATCTACCACCTATATCTGGGGAATGAACATCCTCTTATCATTCAGAAAGAACAGAATGTCAGAACTGCTTGCAAGATCAAAATATAATTTCCTAGAATGAGCATACCTACACCACGACCTTCCCTAATTTCCATAGTCATAGACCTCGAGACAACATCTCTGGAAGCAAGATCTTTGGCTGTAGGGGCATACCGCTCCATGAATCGTTCACCTTCGCTGTTTCTAAGAATGCCACCTTCACCTCGAGATCCTAGAAGTTGCAGTGAAAAAAGAATGGAAGTGAAATTTTCTACTTGAGGTGAAAAAGTATTGAGATTATACGTGATTGGACCAAATACACAAAAAAAAAAAAAAAAAGAAAAAGAAAGAAGGAATAATTACATGAAACCAAAACTAATAATTTCAGTGAATATAAACTTGAAGTACCAACCTTCAGTAATGAGACACCCAGCTCCATATATGCCTGTTGGGTGAAACTGAACAAACTCCAAATCCTGTTGCAAAAGAATCAAGTTGTAAAACAATCAAACAGAAACAAATGTCTGAAGCACATGCTTCGCCATGGAAAAAAGTAAACCTGCAGAGGGAGCCCAGCACGTGCGACCATGGCATTGCCATCTCCAGTGCATGTATGTGCGGAAGTTGCAGAAAAGTAGGCTCTACCATACCCCTGAAGGAAAGCAAACGTAAAGAAATGAATATTGTCACTACCTTATATTAAACAAACTTCCAGAATAATCATAATACCCCTGTAGCCAAAATTGTTGAAGCAGCATGGAAACGATGTAATGTGCCATCCTCCATGTTTAATGCCATTACTCCTTGGCAACTACCTGTACCTCAGGTACCAAAAAAGTCAACCAACTTTGTTCATGTTCACTCCAATATACAAAAAGGAATTTCTCAGTTCTCATCAGAAGATCAAAGGAGAAATGGAATATAAAAATCAAATAAATACATGATTCATGGTTGCAAGAAGTTCTCATGTATTGGCCTAATAAGTAGATTTTATCTTAAAATCAAAAGGATGCGTCATGCGAGATACCACAATGCCACAATGATAGAGAAAACCACAATATTTTTCAACTTACCATCACTGCTCATTATCAAATCCAAAGCAAAATATTCAACAAAGAACTGAGTATTATGTTTCATTGCTTGGCCATAGAGTGTGTGCAACAAAGCATGCCCAGTTCGATCAGCAGCACATGCACAACGGTATGCCTGTCCACCTGGCATGATAAAACAGTGACGAAGCTGAGACAAGAAGGCATGGAAAACATGTAATTAAGTACAAAGCCCCAATTTAAACTTGCTCTTTTTTAATTGTTTACCTTTTCCAAAATCAAGGCTCTGACCACCAAATGCTCGCTGGTATATTTTCCCATCTTCTGTTCGAGAGAATGGTAAACCATAATTCTCAAGCTCAATCACTGCTTTTGGTGCCTCCCTACACATGTATTGAATGGCATCTTGATCACCTACAAAAATAGAATACAATTGCATTACAATTAAGAACACATGCAACGCCAGAACAAAAGAAGTCATTACTATCAAACAAGGACGCACAAACACGTCCTTCCACATACATCTACTCCATTGCCTAAACTGCAAGCCCTATTGCCTTTTTACATGGAAAAGGGTAAAATAGAAGCTCAGTTGAGACAAAGGCAGTTGAAGTTCTTGTTACTTAATCAAAGAGAACATACCTAGCCAATCACTCCCCTTCACTGTATCATACATGTGCCATCTCCAGTCATCTTCAGTCATATTTCCCAATGCAGCATTTATACCACCCTTCACAAGTTTGGTATCAGAATGAGATACTTGTCAGTCAAGAACAATAAGATTTACATGATGCCACAAGCAACGAAAGCTAGAGAAGATCGTTAATACCTAAAGGAGAATGAGTGTATTCACCATTTAACTTTTTAAATGTTCTAGGCAGAATGAGAACAGTTCAAAAAAAAATTATTT